TCTTTAATCTTTACTATTAGCCTCTCTGACTAACTCTTGTTTCTTCCGACCCCGAATATCTATTAGGTTTTCGAGGGAAGACGGGTCACCATATTTCCTTCTACCTCATACTCTTCAGTGTGGCGAGTCATTCAGTGTGACGAGTCATTCACCGAGCGATTGCCGGTATAAGCAATCCACCACTTACTGACCAACGGCTTCGGGCGGATGAGTTGGTAAGTAGTAGGGCACCCTTTTGTCCTGAGGTTGTGACAACGGTATAAGGATGGGGAAACACAAGTAGGGCAAACACTAAATTAAAGATCCACAGCAATACGCCCTAGTCAATCAATCATGGCAATGCTCAATACTAAAATAAATTCCGGAGTAAGTCCTTCGATCGGGTCTCCGGGGTGGACAGTTTTGAGTTTACCAAAAGATAATAAATAGAAGTGTAGAAAGAATATCAACATCTGCACATGGAATGTCAAAACTTTATACAAAGCAGGAAAAATCCACAATGCAATACAGGAGATGAAAAGAATGCATATTGAAATCATGGGAATAACAGAAATGAGATGGCCCGATTCTGGAGAAATACAAATAGAAGATCACAAGGTATATTACTCGGCAAAAAGTGATGGATCACATAAATATCGAGTCGGAATAATCGTATCACCCAAAGTTACCAAATGCGTTACTAACTTTACACCAATCTCAGAGAGAGTGATGTTACTACAAGTAGAAGCCAACTCTATTAATATAAACATCATTCAAGTCTATGCTCCCACTGCAGGCAAAGAGGATGAAGAAGCAAATGAGTTTTATCAGAAGTTCTCATCTTTATGAGCGATTTGCCAAGATTGGGGTAGGAAATAAGACACAATACATTGAAGCACATGGACTTGGAGTCAGAAACGAGAGAGAAGACCTCTTAGAAAAATTTGCAGAAGACTCAGAACTAGCTGTCACCAACACATTATTCCAATTACCACCTCGCAAGCTGTACACGTGGAAATCCCCTCAAGACAGACCTAGGAGAATTATTAGAAATCAAATAGACTATATTTTAGTAAATAAAAGATTCCGAAACAGCTTTACATCTGTCAAGACTTATCTTGGAGCAGACTTGGAGACAGACGACGTTTCACTGGTGGGAGTATTTCGAGTCAAACTTAAAACAGTGCAGAAAAGGAAAGCACAATCATACGACCTACGTATGCTGAAAGACCTTGATATGAGGACGACAGTCCAAGCCACGTTAAACGAGCAAGTGACAGCAATTAGAGACGAAACGAACGAAGGACAAACGATCATACATATTACAGAAAAAGTGCAAAATCTAAAGGATTAACACTTAAAGACAGATAGATTAATGAAGAAAAAATCATGGGTGACAGATAAGATCCTGAAACTAATGGACGAGAGAAGAGAAGAAAAAATGACCCAGACAAATATAAAACTATAAATATATTAATAAGAACGAAAGGGAAAGATGCGAAGAAATTGAGACTCTGCAGTCAAAGTACGATAGTCACAATGTACATAGAAAAGTTAAAGAAATCATAGGGGGATTACGATAAAAGCAGAAAGGAAATATAATTGATTCTGACGGAAACATCATCTTAGACAAACAGAGTAAAATAAGAACGTGGAAAGAATATCTCGAAAGACTATTTGAACACTAAAGAGATAACACCTTTGAGCTAGAAGAAAAGGTAAATGATGGACTAAGAATATTACAGCAAAAAGTTTATTCCGCAATAACACAGTTAAAGCATGGTAAAGCGGCAGGTCCTGAACAAGCAGAACTACTCAAACATATGGACAACGAATCAATGGCCATAATCGCAAAGATATTCAACAACTCTGGAGAAATACCAACAGAATGGCTGAAATTTAAGTTTATTGCACTTCAAAAAAAAACAGGAGTCAAAAAAAGCGAAGATTACCTCATATATATAAGCCTCATGAGTAATCTCCTAAAATTGTTCCTAAGATAACTCATAAAAGAATCTACAAGCTGTGTGAAAGTCAAACTTCCCCAACAAGTTCGGGTTCAGAAATGCTGTTGGTACTAGAGAGGCTTAGTACAAGAGTTATTCCAGAGATGCAGAGACGTCAACTGCAACGTATACGCATGTCTGGTTGATTACGAGAAAGCGTTTGATCGAGTACAGCACGCCAAGATGATGCAAATACTAAAAAAAGCAGGAATAAACAACTAAGATCTGAAAGGAATTAGAAATCTTTACTGGAATCAGACAGCAAATCTCAGAGTTGAAGGTGACTATGTGAAAATCATGCGTGGGGTGAGGCAAGGCTATATTTTGTCTCCTCTAAACTTCAATCTGGACTCTGAAAGAATATTTATCGAAGCTTTGCATAAAACTGAAAAAGGTATTCTACTAAATGGCTACCGGCTAAATAACATCAGATATTCAGATGACACCATAGAATTTGCGAACAACTTAGACGACCTACAAGTTCTTATGAATAAAATCACGTATTACAGTCAACAATGTGGACTCAATATAAATGTTAAGAAGACAAAGCTTGTGATAATTAGCAAAAAAAGGATAACAGAAGGTAAACTATACGCCAACCAATCCCCTGCAGAAAGAGTGACGCACTGCAACTACATCGCCACCATAATAAATGAAGAATAGGCCAACAACCAGGAGATTAGAGCACGCATCGGAAAAGCTAAATCCATCTTCAATCGGATGGGGGCCTTCTTCAAGAGTCACAACCTCTCTCTTGATACAAAAGCAAGAATGCTGCGATGCTCGTGGACCTTGAAGGAAGATATGTGTGGAAAACTGGAAGCATTTGAAATGTGACTATATCGGAGAATACTTAAGATCCCGTGGACTAACCGAGTCACAAATGAGGAGGTCCTCAAAAGAATGAATAAAAACCGAGAGGTACTGACCACCATCAAATCTCGAAAGTTACAATTCGTCGGACATATAATGCGAAATGAATCCAGATATGCTCTCCTTCAAGCCATCCTACAAGGAAAAATATTTGGAAAGCGAGGTCCAGAAAGAAGAAGAACATCTTGGTTAAAGAACCTCAGAATCTGGTTCAATACAACATCTGTGTAGCTTTTCCGCGCTGCTGTAGATAATCTAGAGATTGCCATGATGATCGCCAACATTCGTAACGGATAGGCACATCAAGAAGAAGAAGAATTCTCATTCATAATAAAGGTAGCAAAGAGGATATCAAAAATTACAGACCTATAAGTCTATTACCAATCGTATACAAGATATTTACAAAGATTGCAGCTTTTGTAAATTCCTTGATATATATTGTATTCCCCTCGTATATGTATTAGAACATCGAAGAATATTTTCCATGTATCTCTGTTCCTATCGTTCAAATTAAAATACCCAAAAGTGTTTTCAAATCTTATTTACGTCACCGAGGTCGATTATAAACCATTGTATAGTTTGTTTATATTTCACAGATGCGTATTTTCTCAGTATTCTTTGATCAAAGCCTCTTTTAGGATATTTTGCGTTTCCGTTCCCGTTGTAAGTGTTTTGTTTATGCCAAGTTATGCGAATGAATTTTAAAGATAATTGCTCATTCTCACTGAGGTCACTGTCAGGGGCAGTTTGGCTTCAGTGTAGATAAAAATTTTACGTCAACTTTGAAATGATAATCGGTTTTCGTCCTTTTTTTTCATGGAAAAATGTGTAGCAGTGTAGAGTTAATAGTTACAGTTTAAAGTTTTAAGTGACGTTTGGAAAAATCGTTGTTTTCATCCTCGTTTTGTTTCTCTCTGTTTGCCAGATGTTAATAGAGACATGGGGAATCTAAAATTTGCATTCCACGACATATCTCCTCAGCTGAGCAAAAATCCTTAGCGAATTGGTTTCTTGTACTCATACAGAGTATATCCGAATAAAAAGAAAAAGACAGTCAAGATTTGATTTCACGTACAATGCGTCTGTGTATCTGCTTATACGTATTTCGCCCTAATAGGGCTCATCAGAACAGCTATTCACAGGCGTTCTGAACGTGAAAATAAATCTTTTCTGTCTTAAGAAGCAACTCTAACATGGCTTCGTATAGACGCTAATAGCGACATCTGATATTAGAATCCATAAATTAATTTTCGAAATCAAATTATTTTTATTCGGATATTCTCTGTATGAATACAAGAAACCAATTCGCTAAGGATTTTTGCTTAGCTGAGGAGATATGTCGTGGAATGCAAATTTTAGATTCCCCATGTCTATATTAACATCTTTATCAACGTCTGTTTTGCCTTGCAATTCTTAGAAGGCACAGATTAAAGCAAGAATCTTAATTTGGTTTCGAAAATTAGTTTACGGATTCTAATATCAGATGTCGCTATTTGCGTCTATACGAAGCCATGTTAGAGTTGCTTCTTTAAGATTTGCAATAGCTCTTTTAATTGCAACTGAAGGTAGATATTGTTTTATCCAAAATTCCCTGTCGGGTGTCCTTAAGGAAATTCCATGGGCTGGAATTCTCCTGGTAATGTTTGCTATATAAGAACTTTCAATTCTGATCTATGGGAGGGCATGTTAATGCGTACAATAATTATTTATCATGGTAGAGCTCATTGGAATTTCTTGATCACATGATCTTGATCAAAAATTGATATATCACTTCACTTCAGTAGGTAGGCCTAAAAGTAGGTTAAAAGATTAAATAAAAATGTCCAAACAGCATAAAAAGATAATTTTTAATAACGAAACTACATTATTTATATACATAGAAAACAATTCGTCACAATTTTAATGACATCTTAAATGTCTAAAATGAAATTTTCAGTAATTTATTTTGTAAATGTAATTTTTACCGTGGGTATAAGTGGTTGCATAAATCTAAGTAGGTCCATCGATTTTTGTTTAAAGATTGGCGTTTGAATTTTCCGATATGCTCCACAATAACGTTTTCAAAATAACTTCCAATCTCATATTATATCGTTTAATTTTGGTTGTTTATTGATTTGGCAACACCGTGGAACTGTATCCGTCGATCGTTGAAAATTGTCATCTTTAGCGATAGGTAATTTTCGTACATTAAAAGTAAACGATCTTGAATAATATTTTGGTAAATAATAATTAGTGTCTAACAAAATATACTCTTGTCATCGTGTTTGTGAAATTTATGTTACTTGAGATGTTACGTCTGTGAATAACAAGCCAAACATTGCTCTCTAAAATATGTCAGATTACCTAGTGCCTTCAACTAATAATCTTCAATGAAAAAGTTGAATATTTCAACTAAAAAATATATAATTGGTGGTGTTATTATTTATTATCGTTGTTTTAAGTCTGTTACTTATGAGCATGGGCAGACTTTTTAATTGAGATTTTCTACATTTGCATATTAGGTAAGTAACCATATACTACATTCTTAGAATATTCTATTGAAATTGAATTAAATATGTAGATAAAAAGTAATACCTCGAATAAAATATAGCTTATGCACAAGAATCACTTGAGCTTTTTTAGTTTAAGTGTGCTGAAATCCATCATTGTAATAGCATTTTAATATGTTTTACATGTTCGTATTTATACAAGTTATTATTTAATGTATTTTCTGTCTTATTTATTTTTAACGATTTGATTTTATGTTAGTGTAATTTTTCTGTCAAGCTTATTGGCTCGCAAATTTTTAGTTGTATGCGTCTATATTCTTTGATACAACTTAAGTTTTTATAAAAGAATTAATCATTGAGAAAAAAATTTGTAGTTCAGTCTGCATTGCCTGTCCTGATTATTTACAAGGTAGGTCATATATGTCATTTCAGAACCCATAATTTGTAGTTCTTATTTTGAATTAAGAAGTCATGTAACTTGAAAGCTATTTAGCATAGTTTATTTCAGAGTTAAATATTTTTAGTATCAACTGAGTTACATCAAGTTATCTGTGGTACAAATAATCAAAACATTTTGTTTTCTTTATAGAAATTTGTCATATTCTTATAATGGTCATTAAACCAATTAACTACTGTTTGTTTTCAACTAATGATTGTATTTTTCTAATGATTAGTTTTTACATAATGGAAACATATTAATAATTGTTTGTTGGGCATTCACAATATTTGCACAGGCACATTCCTTAATTATATAGGACAAATACCTATTAAATACCTGTTTAAAAACATCCAAAACAGGTCAGTATGGTGATCTTATTGACCTATTATCATGTACCACAAGACTGTTGTGTTACTCTCACATGTCTAACATGTCAGTTACATTACTTATAACTAACTACTAACTTATAAAATCTTTACTGTTCAAACATGGAGTATTATTATTCACTAAATTTAGGGCAAAATAAATAATAGAGCATGAACTCAGAAATTATTGAAATACATAAAGTAGGCACCAACTTGAATATTTGCCCCATTGAAGGCAAATATATCCTGATTCCTTGGATAGTTTGTTCTCCAATAATTCAAGTATGACTGTATCGCCAGCGTATCTGATGTTGCTGAATACTTCTCTGTCTAGTCTTGCTCCCCTTGTCTATCATCCAAAATCTCCCTAAAGATTTCGTCAGAGTACAGATTAAGAAGACTGGGTGACAAAACACTACCCAGTCCATGTTTGATGTGTAGTTTTTCATTATGACTATCTCCAATTTAAATAGAAGTTACTTGATTGTAATATAAGTATTTTAACAGTCTTATATCGTAGTGGTCAAGTCCTGCTGTCCACAGGCAATTGAAAAGTATATCATGTTGTACTTAGTCAAATGCATTCTCGAAGTCGATTAAACAAACATAAACATGATTTTGGAACTTGGAGCTTTTTTGTAAGTTCCTTCCTAGTTCCTAAACCATTTCTAAATCCAAACTGCTTATTACCCATTCTAGTTTCGCACAGAAGGAATACTAGGTTTTGTATAATTCGTTAAAGTATCAGAGTGTGTGGCTCATTAGACTGATTAGTCTAAAATCACTGCATTTGGTGATCCTGCTTTTCAGAATACTTTGAAATTTTTATCTCTTCTATTACTCTGGATATTAACCTTGTTATATCATCTTATTTAAATATATTTGAAATGATATAATATGTTATAAGAAGGAAAATAACTCATTGGCATAATGCAAGAATAATTCTACTGCATAAAAAGAATGACAATTCACTGATGTACACAATTACAGACCCATTCCTTTTTCATGTTTAGCAAATTTTTATGAAAATGATCATGAAACTATTACAAAATAAATTAGAATATTCGAACAAATAGACTAACAAAAAGTAACAATCTAACCTCTAACCCTTTGTGCTCTGATTATCTGTGTTATTTTAGGTCTCTTATAGATCTCCTTTAGCTTCTGGTTTGTTCTTCTGTGCCAACTTTAATCAGGATTTTCCTCTCCAAAAGTTTAGCTTTATTTCTTCTTTTTGATTCATTGTCCAAGTTTCACATGAATACAATTCTGTTGGTTTCACTATTGTTTCATAAGTTCAAATATTGGCTGCCAGGACACTTTTTGCCTCTATGTTTAATGATGCTACTGCTTTGCTGCCTTTCAACAACAGCTTATCTATTTCTGTTCACTATTTGTAACTGTTACTCCAAGGTACTCAAATTCTGTTACCTTCTCAAATTTATACTCTGCCTTAGTTTTTCTTAGAGTGATCCATTTATTTTTTTCTGCATTTCCCCCCCCCCTCATTTCCATATACTTGGTTTTTTCTTGATTTTAATTGGGCAAACATTTTTTGAAGTTCTATTCTTGAATGTGTCAGAAATACCAAGTCATCTGCGAAACATATGCATTGTTGTCTTTTATTAAGACTCATGCCGCTTATCTGGATCTTTACTTCTCTAATTATTTTTTGTAGTACTAGGTTGAATAAGTTTGTTGACTTTTTTCTATCATGACTTTATTAATAGTTAAGGTCAGTATAAATCATCGAGCAAAAAGACAAAAGAGGGAATGTAAAGGTAGTGGGGGCAAAAATATTGTTAGACAGGAAGTACGATCTTTAGAGGCCACATTAAACAAGGAAAGAGAGTCACTCCTTGTTTGACATCAAATTTAGTTGGGTTATGTTATTGTTTGTCCCAAATGTCACATGAAATCTTATTTATATTGAAGTTTTTTAACAATTGTGTCGCATTTTAGACTATTACCGTTAATAATTAATTAAAACTTTCTCGTCTAAGACACATTCTGAAAAATATTATATAGTTACTGTTAATAAGTGTCGGAAAATTTAAATTTGGCGCATTCGCATTTCCGGATATATCCGCCATCAGAGGCCACTTTTTTGGTCTCCTTTTCCTAAGGATTAGATTCCCTCTTTTGTCTTTTTGCTCGATGGTATAAATTCTCAAAGAACCGTATCACATATGATTAGTACTGCCCGTCAAATTGCAACTCGTTTCAATCACTTGTCTTTAGCATGCAGCAAATCAAGGAAAATACAATAGGAGTTATGGAATAGAAAAAAATTATTTAATATGCACAAACACAGTGGAACTCCACTTTCTACATGTCAGGTTGCCTTGTTTGAGATGTTTAACTATTTATCTTACTGAAAATGGGAGTATAAATAGTTTAAGCAGTAATCAGTGGGACCTGTCGAAATCCGTCCTTGAATTACTTATACCTTTTAAAGGGATAACGTAACTGATGAGCAGCATGAATTCCAACCATTGCTATATTACTTTAAGTGCCATCTTTAGTATAAGAACAAAATAGTCTCATTACTGGAATTAACAAAAGGTTTCCCAATATGGAGCCCAATGGTTATTTTACCATATCTACTATTTTAGATCCCATTTATATAAAACATACTTTTTTTCAAGTAATACTGTAGTTGAAGCTATTTAACCAAAGTTGTAAGAAAAATCACAGAAATTAATAAAATCAATATTGATGAGCCTGAATCTGAAAAACAAGTAGATGGTAGGGATAGCTTGGTTATTATTAGTGAAGATGAGAATAAAGTACTTTTAACAGATAGGCAAAAAACAGCAATGACCAATAACGAAACCATTTTCCAACAATTTATATTTCACACTGTGGAAATGATACAATGATTTTGTATCACCTTCAAAATCTACATCCTCTATGAGTTGTTCGAAAAGCAACACCCCATGAACTTGAAGTTTACTCTGAAATGCTGATTATTGATAAAAAGTCAGACCTAATTGAGTGGTTAATTTAGTTAAGCAGTTTTTAATAATCCAGCAGCTAGTATTTATCCAGAGAAAATACTTTTAGAAATTAGTAACATATACATTGACAATAGGTGTAGGTTAACTGGTGAAAATGCAGAAAAGCTCATATTTATTTACCACAATCTAAATAAAATAAATTATGAATATTAATTTTGATGTTCTGCTCATAAAATGTACATCTTTTAATAGTCTTAATTCTCTTGTTCATTATGTTGTTTTGATTGTTATTTCACTTAACCGAACCTTCATTTTTAAAAAATATATTCGCTTGTACAAAATGTATTTTAAAATTTTCCAAATTCCGGCCAGATCATGATGCTGATCCGACAGGAACGGTAGTTACGGCCAATTGGCCGGATTGGGCCGGATTTGTGGTACCGCCAGAATTCCGGTACATTGATATTCCTAACTGAAAATTCTCGTCTCTTCTAATTTAAAATATGTTGGCCAGAGTTTTTTTCACAGTAGTTCCTTCTGAGTATCATTCTTTGTATTCCTAAAAAATAAAATACTATTTAAAAAAGATCCAAAATATATCCAAAATGTCTAAGGTTTTTGAATGTACGAATTTGGAATAGAAAGCGAACTTTTTTGACAAAAAGAGAAGGAAACAATAATATCTGATCCGTGAACATGCAAATTATAATTATTGATGTCAATTAATGAAGATTCAGAAAATAAAATATTGTCCAATGTTATTTTGAAACTGTCCAATGTGACCCCCTGTATCTTTATAAATAAAAAAATTGTAAACGTTTGTGTTTTAATATTGTTTATTTCACTTAATTAAACATTAACAATTTGTATATAAAATAATATTTAATACTAGAACGTGACCCGATTCTAAGGCGTCGGGATTCTAGAAGTTATGATGTTCTACTAAAATGCTTTTTGTCCTACCAAAAACATTCTATGCAGATTTATTGTGATATTATTGTTGAGAATGTAATACATTTATATTGTATACACAGATATATTGGTGTAAGAGTAAGCGGAACGCACCCATAGTGTCATGGGTTGACATGACAGACAATAATAGTAATGTAAATGAGTATCATGTAGTTGTAAGTAGTAGTAAGAAGTATGGTGGCTTAAGTTAGGTTAGTTAATTAGTATGTATGTTATAGGAAATAAAGCCTTTTATAATAGTAGTAAAGTACGACTATTTATTTTCCAAATCCACAC